GTCTTTTCAAATAGTAAAAGAGTTAGTTTTCAAAAAAAGAATAAATGAGTGTATTTTTCAAAAAACCCTTTATTCGCGAATCAAATAGTAAATGAAAATAGACATTATAAAGTCACTAGTAAACCAAAGTTAACTTGTCAAATAAGTAACTCAAGATCTCTCATGTACCTTGACAAACAAACCTCCTTTAATTCTAAGTGTTACAGACAACAGAATCTCAGGACGCTCCTCTTTCCCCGGAACCTCAACCACAAACCTCTCTAACACCGCGGCCACTATCGATTTCATCTGAATATAAGCCATTTCTTTCCCTAAACACATCCTTGGTCCAGCATGAAACACCGGAAACTTGTAAGGATTCTCACCTCTAAAACCACCATTTGTTTCATCAATCCACCTCTCTGGCTCAAACCGATCACAATCTTTCCCCCAAATACTCTCCATCCTCCCCATCGCGTACGCGTTATAGCTTATCCCCCAATCTTTCCTTATAAAAGTCCCATCAGGCAATACATTGTCTTCAACACAACTCATTGTGTCCACTGCCACAGGAGGATACAATCTTAAAGATTCGGTTATCGCTGCGTGAAGATAATTCATCAGTTTAAGATCCTCAAACCAGAAAACTTCCCCGATTCGCTTCCCTGTTCGTTCTCGGATCGATTTCAGCTCTTGGAGAATCTTATGTTCCACCTCAGGATGCAGAGACAGTAACCAGAAGAACCAGCTCAAAGCAGAGGATGTTGTATCTCGTCCCGCGAGGATGAAACTTATGACAATGTCACGGAGCAACTCCGGCGAATTCATCTCCTCTTTGCCGATAAATCTTGAAAGCAAATCCTCGTTCTTGTTCTCGGATTTTCCTTGATCAATCTTGTTACGAACGATTTCGTCTGCGAATTTATGGACGATCACGATTGATTCTCTCAGAACTCTCTCTGATCCAATGTTAAGTTTCCTTTTGATCTTCCATGAATACGAAACCACAGACTGAAACCTTTTTGAGATAATCGTCGCCGCCGTTTCGAAAGCGCGCATAAACTTTACACCGGCGGCTCCGTCGTCTCCGAGACAACCTGAATCTACATTGAAAGCTAATCTGCAGATGTTATCAAACGCGAATCGCTCCAATATGTCTTGAATATCTATCAATTTTCCGGCGATCGCAGCTTCTGATAACACCGGAACAAGCCTAGAGAGATAAGAGAAAAATCTCAGTCCCCGAAACTGAAATCGAAATTCGGAGTGTACAGTTTAGTTTACCTAGTGTTGATTTCGACGGTGACGTTGGTGATGACGAAGTCACGGAGTGATCTGGTACTGAATTCGTAGCTCGCCGTTTTCCTCTGTTTCCACCACATGTCTCCATCGGAGTTGAAAATCCCACGGCCGAGAAAATCCTCCAGAATCGAGATGAATCGTTCGCCTTTAGGGAAACTATCGAATTTGGTCTTGAGTATGTACTCGACGTTCGATGGATTTGCCGTCATGATGAATTGTCGTTTTCCTGGTCGCCGGAAAATCGCCGTTTGAGTTGGGCATTTGGAAAGAGTCTCTACAGTCCAGTCGAGGAAACGGTGACGGTTTTTCACCAATCCGGGTAAGCTTCCGACGATCGGGTAAGACTTGAAACCTGATTCTGATGAAGAATGGTTTAA